TACTGAGACACCTCCAAAAAGGACGTTAAAAGTTCTCCCACAAACATGTTTGATTACACAAACTGACAACTCTGGACTTAATGCAGGAGAAAGTGAGTCCTAACAGAGAACGTTCTCCTGCAGCAGTGGACTGTAAACCAGCAGAGCAGCTGTGGCTCAGTGGACACAAAGATACACTTTAGTACAGGATTCAGGCTGAGGTTTAAGCTCTGAGGTCTAAATGATTCTGTTGTACCTTACAGTCATGTTCAAACTGGTTAAACTCCAGGCACCTGTGGTTCATCTGTGATTCAGAAGTGTCTCCGATGGTTGAGAGCCAATCAGAATGAGGCAAAACGATCTCAAGAGCTCAGTTTGGTACTAGGAGAAACACGTACAACATTCTTTTTTAGATTTGGTGCAAGTTCTCTTTATACTGTGTTTTCATCTTCATATATCGATGTATTTTATTAATATAAAACTGCTCACTCTAACTCAGTGGTTCCTAAAGTTTTTTTGGCCTCTGACCTCATTCTGACCTCACTTGGCCGGTCACGTGATCTCAGCCGTCAATCAAAATGTGCTGGTTGAGATATTTTTACTCGGTGCATTTTATTTGAATTTGAATTCCTATTCTCTGAAGTGAAGGTATAAATTTGTTTAAGGTGGTGTGTGTGGCGCCCCCATCTGGATTCATGGGGTCGCCGGGACTTATTTAATCAAATGTTGACTTCACTTCTACAGCAGCCTCTCCACTGTGATGTTTTCTTAAAGCTGATGAGGCCACGTCTCAGTCCTGTCAACACCTTCCTGCATGTTTTATTACTTGAAGTCCTGACACACCCACCGTGGTGAAGTCTCTTTCAGCTGACGGGTCGGAAAGTCCAGCAGCAGGAACCCAGAGTGACTGCTGTAATGAAGTCATGTGTTTAGTCTGGTCCCACACCTGTTTCCAGTGTAGGCAAAAAGAGTGGACGTTTGGTAAAAGTGAGTCATAGTTTGGGGGGTTCAAAGATGGAGGCGTGAGCCAGGGTAGGTCAAAATGTTCTTTATGTTTTGATTTCTATCTCAATGCTATTCAGATTCCTGGGCTGGGTCCTGCTTTAAGCTAGCTGTTTTAAATCAGAACTATTTGACTGCATTCCCCCCCCCCCCCCCCATCCTGAATGTTCTCACATTACATCATAGCTGTAGGAGTTCTACCCACACCCACAGGTTAAACACACTCCAACAGTTTTAGCCCAGTGTTTCATGTCCACCTCACACCCCCTGCTGGCTGAACGCTCCTGGAATAACAACTCTGGAAGCAGCTAAAAAAAAAAGACTTTAATAAACCACTGAGAAACACAGGTGTAACGGAGCAGCAGCAAATACAGAACATTTTCCATCGTGGTATACAACATTTAGGCTTCTGTTAGCTTAGCGTAGCGTTGTTCATTCCTGTTTCTTAAAGCAGCCAGCAGACACAGGGTCCTGGCAGTAAAGGCAGCAGCAGCAGCAGAACGCTGTTTGTCTCTGTGATTAAACCCAACACTCAGACAACAACAGAACCCTCTCTTCACTCTTCAACTTGTGAAAAATAGAGAGCCTTTTTGTCATTTTCTTCAGAGGCAGACTTGCTATTATTTCTTTTGAAAAGTTTGAAAGCTTTTAGTCAGTGTTTAAAAAAAAATAGAAAACTGGAGACACTAAACACATTCTGAACAATAAATACACTTTACTATGATTTTTACCCCAGAAGATTACAACTTCCACGACCAAAGTGAGCATTAGTCACAGGAGCTGCACTGACTTGCTGTGTTGCCCTCGTCTGTAGAGGGCAGCATCGTTGACCATATTAAATAAACTGGTGGCTGCAGCATGAATTTGGAGGAAACCCTTTGACTAAGACACAAAGGTAAAAACACATGATTTCATCGTCATCTTCAGTCTTTTTGTGGCCTGAATAAACCAGTACCTGTCATTGAAGTACCAACCTGCTGTACTCTGTGTACTGAATGTACTCTGTGTACTCTGTGTACTCTGTGTACTGTGTCAGATAAGTGGGCTGCAGGGTTAAGTGGTGGTCGCGACCTTGTTTTCGCGACTTAAACACATGTCTGGACCAATTGATCGACAGTAAATGACCAGCATTACTCAGAGAGTGAGAGACAAAGCCCGTTCTGTTTGACTGTTACATTTTGGGATTTCATGATCAATAAAGGACAATGATGCCCAAAAAGTATTGGAGACTCAGGATCCACCAGGTCAGCTCTCCTGTACCAGTGTTATTGAATGAGCAGTTTTCCAGAAGCGGTTTTATTTTCATCCTAAAGGCTTCCTCGTATCTGTAGAAGGGGATTTGTTTTCTCATTCAATAGTAAAGTTTTGCAGCACAGTGGCCACATATTGGTTGGACTGTGTGGCCAGAACTTTAAGAACCGTGTCTGCAGTTTTCATTTCTTTCTCCTGTAACAAAATCTCTACTTTGTATATATCTTTACCACTCTGGTGGTTTCCTGAAATCCCGTCTGTGATTTATTTATTCTACTTCTAGTGTGAGGCAGTGCACTCTGAAACACCACCGCCGTAGATTTTATAAGGAAGCCCAGAAGAGCTCTTGACCTAGGTTCACTTCCAAATGTGAACATAAATCTCAAACTCTTTCACAATATGTGGGAAGAGTTTGAAGTTTGAAACATTTATTTTATTTGTAAAAAAAAAAGTATTTTAACATCACTTCAGGTTTACCAGCCTTGAATCGTTGTCTGTTTCCATGAAACATCACCTGAATGTTTTTAAGTGATGCTCACGTTCAAGACAAGCAGCAGAAGAGGTGATAGTGTAGAATAATTCAACACTTTCTCACAGGTGTTTTCTCAGCCTGCTAACAAGTCTCTCTCTCACTCACTCTCTCTCTCTCTCTCTCTCTCTCTTTCTGGTGTGTTCAAGGACAAACAGCATCACCTCAGCAACTTCATCTCAATCTGAAATTAACATTTTTATATAAAAAAAAATCTGTAGTATTTCTGTATACATACTGTACTTCCCTTTTCAAGAACAAAACTTCATGTCATACTTTTCAGAGAAGCCGGGCGTTGGCTGTTATGATACCATAGGAACGAGATGAACAAACATTACCGACGCCCCGGGTCACATGGCCAAGGTGTTTCTGATTTTGCCGCTTCCACTATTTGTGGAAATTGTGTATTTTTTATATATATATATATATAATTACACCTAAGGGTGTATTTGAACAGCAGAGAATCTGAAGAACAAAAACCATTCTGTTGGAGCTCATGCCTTTATGAATCATTATTTACTAGAGCCCGTGTCGTCACCCGATGGTAACGATGTTGGACGCATCATTTAGTAGCTGATGATCTCAGAGGACAACATGGAAGTGGACCGCCTGCAGCATACGTCCACTGCACACTGTCCTACAGAAGCCAATCTTCACCGCAGCACGTTTGAATCCACGCTCATCATCCGTCTGTTTTGCACGACGGGCCACATCTGATGACCTTTCTCTTTTATTCCTGCTCTCGCACCTCATGAATCACAGTCGCAGCGTCATCACTGCCTTTTTGTTTCTCACTCTACACCCCAGCAGCAGCAGCCAGAGAGGAGACTCAAACCTCCGTGGCTCCACCTTCACCATTGGACACAGGAAATTGATTTTAATCAGGTGATAAAGCAAATCCGGTCCTCCCTCTGTTGCCTCATTTTCACACCCCAAAGACGTCGACCCCGTCGTCTTTCCTGATGGACTGGACCCATAACTGCCTGTGGCCCTGTTTATGTGGACAATACCTTTCACTTTTGTTGCATTCAACACAGAAGACGGACGCTTTATTGGTTTTTGCTGTGGGGTTTTGAAATTTGGTTTAAAATATTTCCATCCTTTTTCGAAGCCAAATAGTCCTGGAGTTTTTCTCTCATGAGTTTTTGGGAAATATCTAGTGACACAGTAATGATACTGCGATTCTCCCAGACAACTTTATTCATTTTTATTTATTAATGGAGCAGGCGATGCAAATAGCGGCCGTTCTGTTGTCTGAATTGAAAAAAACAAAACAAAACACTGTTTGTAACGGTACTCAGACGTTTTTATGGACTAAGAAGAGGAGGAGGTGATTTTCAGGAGGTCATTTTGTAAAACAAACGTAAGGAGGCTGCAGCCATTTAAGACTCATTAGTCCTTATTTTGAAATGAAGACTAACTCACAACAAATTCGGTTTTGACATTGAATAATGATTTTTCACAATTTTTATCTATGATAAATATAAGAAATGTATAAGTATTATTGGCCACTCGTTTGAGGAAGTAGTAAATATTTCCTGGGAGCAGGAAGATCAACAGTTCTATGGAGTTTTTTCATTTTCTCCCAATGTTTTTATATTTATTATTCACTTTTGTTCAACAGTTCAAATCCAAGCTGATTCTAAACTGGAGCCCAGTTACAAATGTGTTTTTTTGTACAGTATGTAGCGACATGCTAATTTGCAACTCATGTACCTCACTATGGAGTTTGCTTTAAACTGACCTTAGCTGCGGTTGTCAGTGTGAGTAGCTGTTTCTAATTAGCAACGTGCTAATTTGGGAAGTAGTTTCTTTATTGTGATCAGGTGCTGATTTAATTGTTTGGACACGAAACGGAGTCACTCTGATTGATTATTATATTATTCATACAGATCTCAATAGGCAAACTCTCGCCTTACAGTGAAAACGTCAAGAGTTCGATCCTGAATGGTTACTGATTGTCTTTCTGTGTGGAGTTTATGTGTTGTTGATCTACTGTGAACTCCTCCAACAGTCCATGGAGGGAAGAATTATGTATTTCACTTTGTGGAAGTAGTGATGAGCCAGATTGGTTTTTGCTCTTGGCAGAGATGAGGAAAACAGTGTTCAGGACTTAAAGTAAGAGTGTTACTTATCATTCCCTCACTCCCAACAGCTCCAGGACATACAACATTATACAGTATACACACTCGTGTACTAATACATAATTGATACGTATTTCTCTGCAAAAAAATTCAAATGTATAATGTGTAGCAACTGGCATGTGAAGATCTCACTTGTTAAAATTATTGGATCGTTAAGTTTTTCAGGTTTTTAATTCACACATAAATGCAAACTTTATTTCCCCCCTTTTTTTCTTTTCAGTTCTCAAGTATTTAAAAGAGTTAGGGTCCAATAATAAGGCCAGTAAATTACCCAGAGCAAGAAAATAATAAGGTTGGGGAAAAAAAATATTAAAAAAGGAACTCAAAAGTGGGATAAATTACCAAACTCCTACAGCCATGGAAATTAGGCCTCGAAAATGACTCTCAACACTTCCTTACATGTTGGAGATTTTGCTAATGACTCACAGACCATTTGCCTGCGAAGGCAGTGTTGAGACAAACTGTGAAACTAGACTTTTTAATACAAAAATGAACAGTAAAGTAGAAATAAATAATGGTTGGACTAAAGACCGTTTGAAGAAAAAAAAACACCATAAAAAAAAAACAAAAAACCAAACCAGCTAATCAAATGCTTTCTTGTGTGGAAAGATAATGAGCCACAACAACATTAGCAAAATAGATATTCTAATGTCGGAGTCACGTGACAGTGGAGTGTATTTTCAGACACCAGAATTGAGCACAACTGGACTGAACTGTGACCTTTAAAAAGCAGAATTGTCCAAATGAGTTCCTTAATGAACAGCAAATAATGTTAAACATAGATCATTTACGGATACGAATAATAATAACAGGTACAAACGGTTGTACACATAAATATGCAGAACAAATATTTCTCTCATTAATACACCTGTGTGCGTTGACGCGTCACGTGACACGTTCCCAAAAGAGTGACAATCTCAAAACTGCTTCCAGAAAACATGGTTCGTAAAGCTGCTAATAATCAGCGAGTTTTGGTTCATTTTGTGTAAATTTCCGTGTTTGAGTTGTTGTAGTGATTGTTTATGAAGTGTACTGGCGTATTAAGGCCTACTTCTGTGTAGTGATTGTTTATGAAGTGTACTGGCTTATTAAGGCCTACTTCTGTTTGTTGTTCTGTTGTTAACTTTACAAAAATGCTAAATTTTCCGCTAGCAGCCATTAGCAAGAGCCAAAGGGAAAGCCACGAATGACCCGCCCCCCTCTGCTTCTGATTGATGTATTCTCGTAGGTTTCGATGGTTGGATTGGATAGTCTCCCCGTCACTTTGAAAAAACTCGTGACAATGATCAGTAAATAAGCTAATGTATGAGTGTAAAAAGTCCAATAAACACTGCGAAATGTCGACGTTTAAAGCCGAGTTAAAGCAACGATATCAACAGCTACAATGGGCAACTAATTACATGATTTTTATGTTGTTTTTAATTTAAAAGTTGAGCTAATTTCTATAACGTGCACGCATTTATTTTGGGCTGTGATAACTGTAACAATACTGCGTTCACCGTCCTACATAATGTGGTTTATGTGAAAGATAATTCACGTGTCTCCGCATTATCTTCGACTCTCCATCGTTATGGTAAGTTACATTTTTATATATAATAATTTATTTATTAGCTTCATGTGTTTTACTTAATTTTTTTTTAAAAATGTTACGCCTTAAAGCCTTGTATGTGGCTCATTGAACGTTAAAATCCTTCGCTCTTACCTATATTTATAAATCGTTATTTAACCCGAGTTTGCACCTCAAATCAATGTGTTTGTATAAGAAAAGTATTTTCTGTTTTTTGAGTCCTGAGTCCAACCACTGAAAAGGGATAAAGTGGCCATTTGTTTAAATGCAAGGGGGGAAAAAAATAACATCTCAAAGAAAGCTATTTATTTCCTCGTTTAATTTAAATTTTAATAGCTATTGATATAATCGAAAAAAAGGGGCATTAAAAAGAAGGCAGGCAACCCAAGGAAAGGCATTTAAAGAAAATAGAAGTGCTGTATAAGTGATCCAAAAAAGACTCAATTTAGTGTTTGTTTTTTTACTAGCCACGGAGCAGCAGCAGTTTGTTTCCTTAATAAAGAAAATATCTTTAACTGGCCATTATTTCCTTTTAAGGTGTTGCCCAGGAAATTCTCTTATAGTGAGTTTAACAAAATGAATCCTATCAATTACCCTCACCTTTTGCTGCATCTATTTCTGTGCACATGCCTCTTGACATTGTTGAAACCCTGGGGTATCTTCAGGCTGTTTAATATTAATATTCAATTTATTTGGATTCATACTCATCTTCGTGAATGCCCTTTCACTCATACTGTGAATTTACTGAGGGTTTTATCAGTAATCAGTACAAAAATAATAATAATGGAAACCAATCTTGGAAAGGCATCTTTTTCCTGATGTTTGGGTGCAGTGGAAATTATATGCATTTTTTTTTCTGATGATGAAAATGTTAAAATGTATTTAATTATGTAAGATGTTTATGAAAAGGTTCAATTCATGTTTATAGAGATGAATGTGAAGCAACACTGTGAAGTGTTGCCTATTTATACCCACATATACAGCAGTTAATTGCTCAGCTTATATAACAGGCTTTGTTGCCAAATTTGGTCTGTCAGGTTTGTGCAGCTGCAGGGAAACGGTGTCTGCAGCGGGTCTGACCTCTTTAACAAAAAGCTCACATGGTCTTTCCTGCTGTCTGTAGAATCTGCAGTACAACCTCGCATGTAGTTAGGCAAGTGAATGTTGAAGTGAGAAGAATTGATGCCTGGGCAGCTTGGTTCAGGAAAAGGTGTGTGATGTACAATATCACATCTTTTGTAATTGTAGTTTTGTAAAATTCTACTTTCACCTGTGAAAATGGTTCATGAGGTGTCACATTGTAATTATGGCTTTGGGTTGTGTTTCTTTGAAAAGACTAGGTTTCATAATGGAACACATTCAATGTCAAAACCCTCAACCAGGTGTAAAACTACAAAATTTACTGAAGGCTACACTTCAAAATTCATCTTTATAATTATTGTAATGTTGTATTTCTTCAGTTAAAATATCACAAAAAAAGTTGTTGGTGGTAGACTGGGTTTTCTGAGTAAACCTGCTAAGCTTTTGGTTACAGAAAATAGTCGAAGAATATAAAAACATTGCTATATATATATATGCTGCAGGAGTGGATACGTTTGACATGATTTACCTTTTTTAAGTAGTTGCATTTGTTTGACTCGAGTGTTAAGACATTTTCCTTAAATATATTCACTGACATGAGAAACATGAGATCTGCTAATTGTGTACGAAGCCTTCGCAGCTCAGCAACAGCTATAATGACACAGTGTTCAGAATAATAACACGGTATCCATCCTGTCAACACTTGTTGTAGGTGTGTTTTAACATAGTTAGTTAAAGTCTGGAGAGTTAAAAAAAAAGGTGTTTCTACCGTCACTGGAACAAAATGCATATTTTTCAGGAAAAAAAAAAATCTTTTCTGGTGCAGATCACAGTGGGATTGTGTTTGGTAAATTTAGATCAACAAACCCTAGCGCTGTGCTCACAGTGGAGATGTGCTGATGGTGATGCAGGTGAAGGTTGCAGTAAGTAGAGAGCAGAACGGAGCGAGATCGTTTTTATCCAGAACCTAAACATCGAAGCTGCTGCACCCAACAAATACATGAAGTACAAGAATATCTCAGTGTGTGTGTGTGTGTGTGTAAAGATTTAATCCTTGAAGATTAGTCTCTTTATTGTGATTATTTTTACTTATTAACATGTTTCTTTGCAGCCCACGCTATTAAAATAACGTTGTTTTCGAAGAGTGGGTCACTACTCTCGAGGGGCAGCAGAGCACTTCAGGGGATGAAAGGAAAAAGAAAGGCAGGAAAAAC